CCCTGCTGGTGAATCGTCCTCCTTCCCCTCCCCTTGAGGCCCTCCAAACCCTCCAAGGAACCAAGCCTATTCAGTCATCTCCTCTCCCCCATCTCATCCTCCTCCTCCTCGTCCTTCTCCTCCTCCTCCTCCTCATCCTCTTGCGACACAGAGTGCGGTTCGCCGAGCTGGCCTCCTCCTCCTCCTCCTCCTTCTCTTCCTCCCGAGGCTCTCATGAACGGAGCACGTCCAGAAATTGCGGTCCGACGAGCCAAGCTCGTCCTCCTCCTGGCTCGCGTCCTGGAAGTTCTCGTGGCCGTGGCCCAGCGACAGGCTTCGCTCGCCCAAGTGGGGCAGGGGAGGCTACTCTGGGGAAGAGCTGCCTCGCCGATCTCCGCGCGAGGGTCTCCTTAATTTTAAGCCAGGCCCAGGGGAAATTCAAAAATAGTCAGGGTATTTGTTTTAATCATTGTTGATAATGTTTGGAACATCTTTTGGGTATGTTTAATTTTTCCCTCAAGATCGGGCTTTAGGGGGACAGGCCCGACTTAACCCTGATTGCTCCGCGCCATGAGGTGGAGCAAGTCTTGAGGAGGAGCAGCGTGTGGGAGGCGGGGGAGGAGACTGAGGAGGAAGAGGATGAGAGAGGCGGATACCTATCAGGCGATCGCAAGCGTGGAGAGAGGGGCGTGGATTAGCGGCGGGTCCCGTTTCCATGGGAAATCGCGGGTGTCCGCCGCCGAGCGAGGCGGCACCGGCCGCATTTTGGGGAAGGCATTTCCCCCGATCCATGTATCTGGCGACCGCGCGCCAAATCCATGGATCGCTGATCCATGTTTGTGCGCCCCCGAACCTAGGGCAGGTCTCGATCTAAGCTGTGTCTTGAGGACTTCGTGGACCGTTGTCGTGGTGACTTCGTTCCGCAGCAGATGCAGCACGAAGACAGAAGGAGACAACGAAACACAACACGAAAACGAAAAGCACCTTTCAGCTCGAGCCCTGAACTGGAGGTTCGTTGCACGTGTTCCTTCCTCCTGGACGGTCTTGGGGCCTCCGTGGAGGCCTTCAGGGGGGCCCCGGAGACCTGTTGGCCAGGAGGACGGCAGAGGACGGAGGAGGAGGAAGGAGGAGGAGGAGAGGAGGAGGAGGAGAGGAGGAGGAGGAGGAGGAGGAGGGAGGAGGAGGAGGAGGAGGAGGAGAGGAGGGAGGGGGACGATAGGAAGAAGAGGTGGAGGGGGAAGAAGAGGATGAGAAGGAGGAAGAAGAGGAGGAGGAGGAGAGGTGGAGGAGGAGGAGGAGGAGGAGGAGGAGGAGGAGGAGAGGAGAGGAGGGAGGATTACGATAGGAAGAAGAGGTGGAGGGGGAAGAAGGGGATGAGGAGGAGGAAGAATAAGAGGGGGAGGAGGAGGAGATGGACGAGGAAGATGGAGGAGGAGGAGGAGGAGGAAGGCGAAGCTTAGCGCAAAAGTCCCAGAGGAGATTCAGGTTTGAGAGAGCATGGAGGTAAGATCTGGGAAGTGATTAGGCACTCCCTCCCTTCCCCTCGTTTGCTGTTGGCAAAAGCCCTGGCCAGAAGCTGCTGGAGTAGGGTCGGGCAGTGCTCTCTTTCTCCGTCCTTTCCTTCCTCTTCCTCCCTCATTCTCTCCCTATCTCCTCTCTGGATCTTCTCGAGCTTGTCGAGCTTGTGTCGATGTGTGTAGCCTGCCTGGGTTTGATTTGTCAGCCGTTCGAAGCACCTGGTCTGATGTGGGTGCGTGTTCAGCGCAATCCGCGGAGAGGCCTTCAATGTGACAGCGTGGTCTATCGCTTCTAGGATGTACCACATTTCTCAGACGATGCCACGTGGATTCATTGGTCTCCGCAGGGTTCGGGGGTTCTGGTGGACACCCGTGACGGAGGCAGTACGTACGGGCATTGCTTTACGTCACGTTGTCTTTGGGCATTCGTTGCGCTTGCCGCGCAGGATCTTGCGATTAACGCGGATTTTCCGGGTATTCAAGTTGGGCAAGTGACCTTCTCTTTCTTTTGACAGGTTCATGCGATGAGTTGTCATGCAGATTTGGCGTTGGACAGCAAGAGTGGGAAAAGGTGTGTGTGTGTGTGCGTGTGTGCGCGCGTGTGTCTATATGGGAGCTCTCTCGAGGGTGACCATGTGTGGTTATGGCCCCAAAGCAGAGGCACCGCATGTGTTCTACCACGGTCATGTGTTGTAGCCACACCGCTTGCAAGCCATCGGTCGGACCTGTGTTTCCTGCCTGCAGGGCACCCGCTGCTCCTGTCTGAGCGGGAGAGGCCTACGTGCATACAGGCGTCAGCTTCTGTGCAGGGCGTTGTTGAGGATCTCAGTTTTTCCATTGCGTGCGTATGTCATGTTCCGAAATCCAGAGGCGTGCAACGAGTGCTTCTCTGTGCCCGCGGAGGGCTCCTGAAAGCTCTAGACATCCCCAAGAGGCCTCCAGGCCCAAAAGGTGTGGATGATCGTTGTCGTCCCCATCCTTCTCTTTCTTCTTCCCGACTCCAGGTACAACGAGATCTTCACGTTGTTCACGCGCGTAATCAGCCAGTCCGCCCGCACTTCTCTTCGCGGTGGTGGGGGGGCGAGGGGACGGTAGGCGCGGAGCGAAGTTGTCAGTTGTACGCGCGCGGAGCCTGGAGAGCGACGGGGTCAAATCTGCGCGGGACGGGCGACATCCCAACAGGTTGGGCAGATCCCAATGCGTCAGAAATTGGGAACGGTTCAGATCCCACCGGGCAGAACAAGCTCTGCTTAAAGTTGCTATTGCGCGCGACCACCTCGACAGGGAAACCGAATGGTCTCCTTTCAAGTGAACTCGCTCGGCTTTCATCCTGCGCCTTTGGGTTCTCTACCGTCCTACTGCCCTACGATGCGGGAGTTCCGAGTACTCCCAGGAGACCCATGGGATCTTAAGACATCTCTGCCTCCACTTCCTCCAGGAAGCCCTTCGGATCCGAAGACATCTCTAAGAAAGCTCGGAGGAATCCCTGAGGCATCCGCCAGGGATCTCAGGAATCCTCCAGAAATCTGAAGGCATCCTTCAGGGGCCCTGCAAACTCCGTCAGGAATCCTTCAGACATCTATCAGAATTCCTTACGGAATCTGTCTGGACTCTCTTAGGCGCTTCTCGTGGATCTTGAAGAAGTTTTTGGTGAATCCCGCAGGCATCTCTCACGAATATTCAAGGATCCTTCTGGATCGGTTCAGGATTCTTGCAAGAAGCCCTACAGATCTGTCAGGGACCTTCAGGACTCGCTCAATCATCTCCAGTAGTCTACAAGGAACTCTCATGACTGCATCAACAATCACCAGGGACATCTTAGGCATCCTCCAGAAATCCAGCAAGAATCCTTCAGGAATCTGTTCAAGCTTTCCCAGGGGTTCCTCAGGAGACCTTCAGGAATCCGTGAGACTTCTTGAGGCATCTTCAGGAGCCCTTACGAAACCACAGGAATCGAAGGGGATCTTCCAGGAATCCTCCAGGTGTTCGGCGGAATCCCTCGGGGAGCTTTCAAGAATCGTGAGAAATCTTGCAGGGATTCTTCTGGAACCTTCAAGAACTCGCCCAGGGAATCCGCAGGAATCTTTCGTGAACCTTGCAGGATCCTTTTAGGAGTCCATCAGAAACCAACAGGATTCCGTCAGGAATCCTCGGCAACCCTGAGGAATCCGTCAGGAGTCCGTCTGGAATCCTTCAGCAATCCGCGGGAACCTGTTTGGGAATCCTTCAGCCATTCGTCAGGGATCCTCCTAGGTTCCGTCGGGAAGCATCCAGAGATCTTTTTGGGAGTCCTCCAGGAAACTTGGAGGATCCGTCAGGAAGCTTCGATCGGAATCCTCTTGGAATATCAAGGAATCCTTGGGGGAATCCTCAAGGACCCGTCTGGAAACCTGCAGGGATCCCCAGGAATCCGCCGGGAATCCTTAAGGAGTCCCTCAGAAATTCTTCGGGGATCTTTCAGGAATGCTGCAGGAATCATCCAGGTAAATGTTAGGAATCCTTTTGGAATTGTCAAGAAACTTCCGGAATCCTGCAGGTAGCCCAGGAGGCGCTCAGGATGCGCTGAGGAGGCGCCTAGGAGGGGCCCAGATGGCGCCGAGGAGGCGCCCAGATGGCGCCTAAGAGTCGCTTCGGAGACGCCCAACTTGTGCCCACGAGGCGCCCAAGAGGCGCCCAGGAGGCGCCGGCATTGGAGGCGCCTGGGAGGCGCGACGGAGGCACCCATGTGGCGCATAGGAGGCGCGCAGGAGACGCTCGGAAGCTCCACTGATCCTCGCGGGGATCTGAGCAGATCTGGTGTTCTGGCCCGAGGGGAGCTGACCTGCGTGGCCCAAAGGGGGTCCAACTGAAAAGGGGTGGTGCAAGAGGTCTGGTGCCGTAGACTTGTAGGGTTGCAGTAGATTTTGGGCGTGCAAGACGCTCCCGTGCGCAACTGCATTGCTGGGTTATCGCGTGCCACACATCCGATGCAGCACGGTGCCATACGCTTCTCCGTCGCAGTGCATTTGCAATGCAGTTGCCCTGAACCTCTTGCACCACCCCCTTGCAGCTGGACCCCCTTCTGGGCCACCCGGGCGGGAGGAGGAGGAGGAGGAGGAGGAGGAGGAGGAGGAGGAGGACCCAGCTCGTTGGGATCTCCTCCGTCCCGCTGGGCTCCGGCCCTCTCTCGGCCCGGGCAGGGCGGTGGAGAGCGGGTCCGACGTGCCCAGGCACCGGGGGGAGACGCTGGATGGGCATCGGGGAGGATCGGGGGGCGACGGTACCGGGGGAGGGGGGATGGGCATCGGGGGGGACGACTGGACCCCCAATCGCCCGTTGATCGCCGATGGGGGGCCCGACAGCCCCAGCCTGCCCTGGAAAGTGCGGATTCACGATCGGAGGCGCATCGCCGATCTGTCGGCGATGTGTCGGCCCCCCCTATGCCAGTCCCCCCTATCGTTGTTTCTCAGAACATTGCAAACGCCTCCTGTCGCTTGGTTTGGGGTTTACCCGTCGTCCCCCCCCCCACCCACCTTGGACCTGGACGGGGCGCCCCGCGAGGCGTTGGGGTATCCAGGATGGCTCCAAGAGGGCCTTGGAGAGTCCAAGATGGCCTCCAAGATGGAGCGTACAGCCGATGATCAACGTACGTACCACCTGTTCCTCGACCTGACGTCGATGCTCAAGATGCATCAAGATGGCTCCCAATCTGGCCTCCAAGATGGCTCAACATGCATCAAGGTGGCTCCCAATCTTCTCGAAGAAGCCTCCACGACCGATCCTGGACGTGTCCAAGTGGCCCGAGAGCTCCCCAAGCAGGCGCCCAAGAGGCCATTTTCCTTCCAACACCTGAGGGAATCACTGTACGTTGCTTTCTCGCCGTTTCGCTTCCAATGGGCTTCCGAGGCGTCAAAATGGCCTCAAGAGGGCCCCAAGAGGGGTCCAAGAAAACCCCAAGACGGCCCCCCGGAGCGCCCAAGAGCGCTCCAAGAAGTGACTGTAGGCACGCTACAAGGGCAAGGCTAATTGAAGCTCTCCTCTTGTTTGATCGATGTCTTCCAAGATGGCTTCAAGAGCGCTTCTAAAGTTCCCAAGAGCGCCCGAAGAGGGCCCCAGGAGGCGCCCAGACGGCCCCGAGAGGCGCACAAGGGGCACCCAAGTGGCTTCCAAGAGACCCCCAAGAGGCCTCACGAGGATTCCCGAGGCACCCAAGACGCTCAAAGACGGCCCTGGGGTCCGCCCTCATTGGAGGAGGTTCCGAGAGGCATTCAAGGAGTTTCTTTCTCTCTTCTGTTTGCCCTTTTCTTCCTCCTCCTCCTCCTCCTCTTCTCCTCCCCCTCCTCCTCCTTCTCCTGATTACTGCCACTGCACTGCACTGCACTGCATGCCTTGAGGCCATACACGCCTGAGGGACTGACGGAAGGTACGGTCGCTCCTCCTCCTTCTCCTAATTATTCCTTCTCCTCCTCACCCGCTTATTGCTACTCCCTTATGCCTCTTCCCCCTGCTCCTCCTCCTCCTCCTCCTCCTCGCCGTTTTCTTCCACGTTCTGCTCCTATTTCCTCATCCTCCTCCTCCTCTTCCTCCCCCTCCTTGTGTCGTCCTCCTCCTCCTCCTTCTTCCCCTTCTTGGGGTACGACGGTTTCTGGATCCCTGTGTTCCTCTGTACGTGTGCTACCCCACGTTCGTGACCATACCAATTTGTTTGGGCATCCTTTCTGGATGGGTTGGATGGGATGTTTGTTGGTACGCTGGCGCGCGAAGCGGGTCGAACGCCGCGCAAGCGGGTCGAACGCCGCGCAGGCCGTGCAACCAGTTAAGGGAAAAACGGATGGATGGGATACGCGAAGCGTCAACAATTGTGATTTCCCTCATGCCCGCCCCTTGTCCCAAGCTTGTTTCACACATCGCATTGGCCACAGCGTATCTCTTGGATGCCCCACCTCCTGATCTTCTTCAACGGCTTGGCACTGCTGAGAAATTGGCTGTTCATGGCTAGGGTTTCGTGTTTCCGTACCTGCTCGGATGACGTTTTCGGCGTTTTGCGCACGTCGCGTGTTTTCGGATGTTTGGAGCTGTCCAGAAGAAGGCTGAAGGGCCCGGAGAGAAGATGGAGGATGCGGGGGGAGGGTGGAGAAGGGTTGAGGATTGATATGGAGAGGGAGGAGGGGAAGGCCTGCTGGCTGGAAGCCCCAGGGGCCTGAGGAAATGGGATTGGAAGGAGGAGGAGGAGGAGGAAGTGGAGCAGGAGGGACTGAGGAGGGTTGATGAGGGAGAGTGCGGGAGGAAGGAGGAGGGGCGATGAGGGAGCGAGTGGAGAACGACGAGAGGGGAATGGGAGGGGGAATGTGGAAGGCGGGAACGAGGAGTGGAGAGGGGAAGGAGGGGTGGGGCAGGAAGTCGGAGGAAGAGAGGGTGTGGAGTGGAGAAGCAGAAGAGAGCTAAAAGGGGGTATGGGGGGATGGATGTGGGCGGAGGGAGGATTGAGGAGGAAGCGACCGGGGGGCAGAAGCAGGTCGGGACAGCGACGACGAGGAGGATCAAATGCGCAGCAGGGAGGGTGTGGAGGCCTGCAGGAGGTGGCGGCGACGTATGCCCCAGCGACTCCATCATCCCTTCGTCGCCCCTTCTCATCTTGCATCTCCCTCTCTCGCCGAATGTGGAACGGAAGGGTGAGAAGGGTATGCTCTCGCCGCGTCACTCCCGACACACGCGCTTCCTCCCTGGGAGCGCCGAGCGAGGTCCGTACCGGCTCTGGCATTGATGCTCTTCTTCATATCCCTCGGCTGCTGCCTGTGGCGGGCTCAGCGCGAGATGGACGAGGGGCGGGGGAGAGGAGGAAGGGATGGAGGGAGGCGTGCGAGGAAAGAGGGGTAGGAGATGTGAGGACTATGGGTTCGAGGAGGAGGCGAAGGAGGAGGAGAGGAGGAGGAGGAGGAGGAGGAGGAGGGAGGAGGGGAGGGGAGGAGGAGGAGGAGGAGGAGGAGGAGGAGGAAGAGGGAGGAGGAGGAGGAGGAGGAGGAGGAGGAGGAGGAGAGGAGGAGGAGGAGGAGGGGGAGGGAGGAGGAGGAGGGGACGGGGGAGGGGGAGGGGGAGGGGGACGGGGGAGGGGGGGGAGGCGGAGGGGGAAGGGGGAGGGGGGGGGGAGGGGGAGGGGGAGGAGGAGCAGCGGGGGACGGGAAGGGCGCCGAGAAAGAGGATGGGGAGATGGGGGGGGGGGAACGCACGCGGGGGGGCGTGCGGATCATCCGGTCCCCTGGGGGGGCCGCGCGCGCGTGTTGTGGACGCGCGTCAAGCCACGGCTCGTTTCGCCTGCGTCTCGCGGTCGTCGCCGAGCGCGCGCGCGCGTGAAGGCAGGGGGGAAGCGACGGCGAGCCAGCGAGCCTTCTCGGGGGGCCCTGGCCTTTGGAGGCGCAGGAAGTTGTGACAGCGATGCATCCCTCGGGGGCGGCCACGAGGGGGCTGGATGACTGGGGGGCGGATATCCTGGTTCGTTATAGCGCATACGTGGCGCCCGATATACCCTTTTTGATTCCGTTTTTAGCGTCGATTAGCGTCGATTGGCGTTTGGGAGTCGATGAGATAGCGCTGATTTAGCGTCGGTTAGCTTCGATTAGCGTCGATTTAGCGTCGACTAGTGCGACCCGCAAGAGCCGACAAGATGGTACGGGAAGGCTCTCATAAGTTGCCACCGAAGGGGGGGGGGTACCATGGCGCGGGCCATGATATCTCCCCAGACCTCAGGGCGCCTCTTCTTATTTCAATGCGTCCCAGGCCCCTCCCTGGGCCGCGCACGTGCCGCCAGTCATGATATGTGCACTCCCCTCTTGGACGCCCCCCTCTTGGATGCCCCCGAAACGATGCCCTCCAGCATGTTCTGGGTTCCAGCAAGCACTGCAGGCACTACACTCAGGTGTGTTGTGCATGGGAGTCAGGTGAAGTATGAGCTCCTGCCTTTCCCGACTATTAGCGCTTCCTAGCTCGTGCGCGCAGATAGACATTCATAGGCGCCAGTGGGCGCTTAAAGGCGCTATAACAGGGACAGTGCTAGACACTGCTAGACGCTAAGCGAGCGGAACCTGTCCTAAAATCGCTCTCGCACATGATACACGTAACTGCACCTTGGTTCGGGGACCACCCGTTAACACTGGAACGACACATAGAAGATTAGCATGGCCCTTAAGCAATGATGACTCGCGCACATCGAGAAGTGTGTACATCTTTCAAAGAGAAAGAATCAAGTTTTTTCATGTACGTAGCACCCCGAGTAAGGGGGCAGCGGAGACGTCTGCAGTCTGCGAGGCTCTGAAGAAGCCCGCCGCAGGCGCAAAGTTTTTCAGCTATGCAACGAGCCCGCCGCAGGCGCCGATTTTTTGTTTGTAGGCGGGTCGCGGGTTGGGACGCAGGTGGATCGCGGGTGGGTCGACGGTGTGTCGCGGGTGGGTCGCGGCCAGGTCGCGGGTGGGTCGCGGGTGGGTCGCGGGTGGGTCGCGAGCGAGCGGGTCGCGGGGTGGGTCGCGGGTGGGTCGCGGTGTGGGTCGCGGGTGGGTCGCGGGCCGGGTCGCCGGGGGGACGACGACAACAAGCAGCAACAGCAACAGCAACAACAACGCATCGAGCAGAATTCTCACCACGGATCCGCACTTCAACCACACACCCAGGGACAGTGAATGACCGTTCGGCCCCCTCTCACTCTGAGAAAACAGCAAAAACGCAACGAAAAACAAAAACAATAATCAAATTTGAAACAAACAAAGCATGCACCTGGCTTTCCACCGGTGCTCGGTGCGAGAGGCCGCCGCCTGCGCGCCGTCCCCCCCGCCGAGCCTCGGCGGCCGGGGCCTCCTTCCCATGCCAGGGGGGCGGGCGCGCGTCAGGCCCGGAGGCCGGAAGACGGCATGGGGGCGGGGCCAGCGCGAGCTGCAGAGAAAGAGCCCAAGGGCCCCTTAAACTTCTGCAGGTCGAGAACGACGCTCGGCTGATTAGGAAAAGATATGAGCTCTTTGGCCGCGAACAAGGGTGATGGGAAAAAAAGTCCGGCGCCCATCCGTCTGCTGCCGGTCCCTCCCCCGCCTTCGAAAGCGGTTGCCCCCGTCCAATTCCAGGCGCACCCGTCTGAAGTGCAGGACGCGGTGTTCCAGGTGTCAGGGCTCGGCCACAAAGGCTGGCCAGGGCCAACTGGCTCTCCACGGAGTGCTCTGATCTCGTGTCCATGTCTGATCTCGTGTCCATGTCCAGGGCCCCTTAGAGGAGCCCTTTCGAGCTCAGAAGGGGGCCTCTCGGGCCCCAAACGGGCACCCTTCTCCCCCCCCCACATGACGCTCCCCCATTAAGTCGCGCCCAGAGGATTCCGGGCAAACCTGCCTAATCGATCCTTGGGGACCGCGGTAAATGCGGGGGGCGATGCGTGGGGGCCCCTGACGCGCTCCACGCGCCAGGAAGGGGGTTCCAGCGCAGATCCAATAAATCCGCGCTGGGCGCCAAAGGTTTATGTGTATGCCGTTTTTTATTCTTCTAGCGAGGGCTGCACAAATGGCGCCCTGACGGGCCCCTCAAAGAGCCCTTCCGAGCCCAGTAGGGCCCCCCCTCCCTGTACATATCGCTCCCTCCGTAATTCGCACCCAGTGCATTCCCGACAAGCAACCTGCCCACGCGATCCCCCATCATTGGCCGTCCTGCCCCCTCGAGCGGGGGGTGGGTCCGCTTCCGAGGTTCGGCGCGGCCCGTCGCCGAGGGGGCCTCTGCGGCCGGGCCATGGCGTGTCGGACACGTCAGTGGTCACGTCGGTCACGTCGTCGTCGTCGTCGTCGTCGTCGTCGTCGTCGTCGTCGTTGTCTTCGTCGTCGTCGTCGTCGTCGTTGTCTTCGTCGTCGTCGTCGACGTTCACCCTCGCCGGAGTGGCCACTGGTGCGGGCCCACAGGGGCCCTCCCCAGCATCAGGCCCACAGGGGACTTATGATTCTCTGGGTGTGGGGTCCGCCGGGTCCGCCGGGTCCGCCGGGTCCGCCGGGTCCGCCGGGTCCGCCGGGTCCGCCGGGTCCGCCGGGTCCGCCGGGTCCGCCGGGTCCGCCGGGTCCGCCGGGTCCGCCGGGCCGGGTCCCTGGGTCCGCCTGGGTCCGCCGCCGGGTCCGCCGGGTCCGCCGGGTCCGCCGGGTCCGCCGGGTCCGCCGGGTCCGCCGGGTCCGCCGGGTCCGCCGGGTCCGCCGGGTCCGCGGGGTCCGCCGGGTCCGCCGCCGGGTCCGCCGGGTCCGCCGGGTCCGCCGGGTCCGCCGGGTCCGCCGGGGCCGCCGGGTCCGCCGGGTCCGCCGGGCCCGCCGGGTCCGCCGGGTCCGCCGGGTCCGCCGGGTCCGCCAGGGTGGACTCAGGAGAAGAGAAGGGTGGAGGAGGAGCAGGAGGAGGAGAAGAAAAGGGTGAGGAGGAGGAGGAAGAGGAGGAGGAGGAGGAGGAGGAGGAGGAGCAGGAGCAGGAGGAGGAGCAGCAGGAGGAGGAGGAGGAGGAGGAGGCAGAGGGAGAACGAGGAGGAGGAAGAGGAGGAGGAGGAGGAGGAGGCGGAGGAGGAGGAGGAGAAGGAGGAGGTGGACGAGGAGGACAAGGACAAGGAGGAGGACGAGGAGGACGAGGCGAAGGAGGAGGACGAAGCGGACGAGGACGGGAGGAGGAGGAGGAGGAGGAGGAGGAGGAGGACGGGCTGCCCCGTCTCCGTGGCGGTTGAGCGAAAACGTGCAACGGTTTCAAGCGCGATCCTCCAGACGCTGTAAATGGATCGGCGGACGTCAAGCCATCGTGGTGTAAGCAATGCTGTGCGCACTGTGCGGCGATTGCCATTCGGTGGAAGCTATCATTGGTTATGTTGGCCATGTCGTAAATATCGCCGTTGTTTCGTCCCCTGGAATCGCTCGGACGCTGGGGACGGCTCTGGACCCCCCTTTGCCCCCGCCCAGACGTGGAACATTTCCCCATGCACGCCCTGCGCCGCGGACGGGCCCCGCTCGCGCGGGCCCGCGCGGACCCGCGCGGGCCCGCAGGGCGTGCAGAAGGAAATTCCTCGCAGTCAGGGGGGGACATCGGGAGAGGGCGACTCAAAGGGAGCTGGGGCACATATAGATTGCCCGGGGAAAGCCTACCCTAGGCCCCTTCCCTATAGGGCCCACCCTAGGCCTACCCTTAAGGCCTACCCCTAAAGCCTACTCGTAGGCCTACCCTAGGCCTACCCCTAAGGCCTACCCCTAGGCCTACCTTAGTCCCACCCCTACGTCCTACCCCCAGGCCTACCTAGGCCTACTCCCAGGGCCTACTACTCCTAAGGCCTACCCCTAGGCCTACTACCCCCAGGCCTGCCCCTAGGGCCTACCCCTAGGCCTAGCCCAGGGCCTACCCCTGGGCCTACCTCAGGGCTACCCCTAGGCCTACCCCTACACCTACCATAGGAGGTTCAGTAAGGCCTACCCTTGGGAAGGCTAAGGCCTTCAGTGGGGCCTACACTTGGGAATCCTAGGGCTTTAAGTGGGACCTACCCTTGGGAAGCCTACCCTAGGGACCTACCCTGGGGAAACCTAGAGCCTTGAAGGAAGCTGCCATAGAGACTTGAAGTCGGAAGGCGCTTAAAGTAGAGTGGGATCTAGGGATCCAGAAATACCTTTTTCAGCGAGTAGTAGGTAAGGATATGGTGAGCACGCAACAAAAGGCTAGGCCACGCGCGTTGCATCCTTTTGGCTGCATACACCAGGGGGCGATGCTTCGGCGCTAGGACGCGCCCCTGCGGGCACTTGGCAGGTGGTCAGTCCTGCCCGCGCGCACGCGTTCATTGTGAGCGTCTGCCATCTCCAGTACAAAGAAGCAAAAGCCAAACTGGTTCATGTGCTTGGTCTGGTGCTTGTACTGGCTCAACCAAGTAAACGTGAACTCACAAACGCTGGAACGGAACCCTTGCACGAGTTCGGCCAGAGACGGGTTCTTTGGGTGACAGTTTGCCAGACACCATGCGTCAGTGTGGCCCGTCGCATGAAACTCATCCACGCAGTACTTCAAGCGCGGGGGGGCGATGGCGGCCGCGTGGGCTGAGTGGGATTCACGGGAGGCGCTGAATTTGTGCAGATGGCACGCGTCATCATGCACGATAAGCTCCAGTTCTGGGTACAACGATTTCAACGCACTAACGAAAAAATATCGCTGCGACAAAGATTCTGATCCGACCAGCTCCCGCAACGACGTGATGATCCCAGAGCTCGTGCATGCGCACATGACGCCAGCAGTCTGGGCTGAAAGGAGTCTCTCCTTCTCCCCTTCCTTGTGCGTTCCGCACGAGCTAGCGGCCAAGTCTCCTGAGGAAGAGTGCAGGGCCAGCGTGTCCTCTCGCTCCTGCGGCGTCAGTAGGTGCCAGAACGACGCCGCTTCGGCCATGACTGCGGATACGGCTTCGCGGGCGTCAGCCTGCGCCCGCCTCTTCCGCAACCTCCGCTCTGTTATCCTCCGCTGCGCGTCCAAGCTTTCTCCGCGAAATACTGGATCGCAGCTCGGGGATCCACTTCGGACTCTGGCACCCAGAACCCCTCGTCATTGCCCCCAGCCTCGCACACCCTGAACATAATCTCGTCTGCTGTCTCTCCCAGCACAGTCTCTGGATCCTTGTGCTCAACGACGCTATATTGGCAATTGGCCCCAGCGCAGGTCGCCTCAAAGTGGTCGACGCAAAAACGTGCGCCAAATTTCGGTGTCCGGCGGCACGACAAGCTGATTGCCTTCCCGAGAGCTACATCCAATTGGCGGCCCTGGTGCGGCACTCCGCAGCAAGATCTTTTTATCTTCTGGTTGCCGTCGATGGCCTGCCTGCTCGCCTGCGCGGGGTCACTCTGCAGCAGCGCCGCTCGGGTAGCAGCCTCGAAGTGTGATTGAGCCTTCGGCCACAAGGTCCGCGCGTTCTCCTCTGAGGTAGCGGACAAACAAAAGTGCTCCAAGGCGACGGACGTGTCCCCGTCGGCACACATGCGTTCAACGCGTAGCAACATCCGCCATTTGAACCAAGCTTCACTGATGTATAGGCGAAGAGCACAGCCAGGTAGGCGAGGCCCGTCTGGCGAATGCCTCTCCATGTCGTGCGCAACGTACGCTTCCCCGGCGAAAGTCACGTGCTCCCGGAGCAAGCGGGCGTGCAGTTGCAGAAGGTATTGCACGGACACGCCGAACGAGCTTGTCAACATAAAGCAACGAAGAGTGGATGGGGCACCTCGGAACCAATGGCCCCCGTCAATCGTAGCGTAGTTGTGCCAGGTCAGCCGCAAGTACTCTGGGCACCCCTGAGTGTAACACCTCCAGGGGACGTGGCGTTTCCCCGCGACGCTCCCAGAATCAAGTATCCGAGCGGACGTCGCCTTGCTCGTCTGCAGGGCCCGCGGCTCATTGCACCCTGGGCACTCGCGTCGCGGGTGCACGAGGTCGGTCGAGCGTGTCTCGCCCCCGAGAAATGGCGGCGAAGGCCTCCAACCCTGGCTGAGGGAAGTGGCCATGCCGTTGACCTCCTGATCCCCCAGAAGTGCCAGCACGTCCGCCGTGCGCAACGCATCCCGCAGAGCGACGTGCAACTGTTCGTCCGAACCAGGCTGCGGCCCGCCAGCGGAAAGAAGATCGCTGGGCGACGCCGCCATGGATGGTGCCTACCTGGCAGCCCGTGCCAACAAACAAAAGCCGCCCCGCCCCAAGGGCGCTTGACCCAAAACGCGCGACGGCTTCAAGTGTCTGCCAGCGCCGGCCTCTCACGCAGCGGGCAGTTTAATGGCGGACGTCAAGCCATCGCGGTGCATGCGATGTCATCCGCATTGCACGGCTATTGCGATTCGGTTAAGGCTTGCTTGTTGGGGCTACGTCTTCGACACTGCCATGGCGTCTTCACCTGGAATCGCCTGGCCCCGCCGATCGCTCTTGCACCCCTGTGTCCCGTCTGAACATGGAAAACTTCCCCATGCACGCCCTGCGCCGCGGACGGGCCCCGCTCGCGCGGGCCCGCGCGGACCCGCGCGGGCCCGCAGGGCGCGCATAAGGAAATTCCTCGCAGTCCGGGAGGGACCTCGGGAGAGGACGACTCAAAGGGAGCTGGGGCACATATAGCTTGCCTGGGGAAGGCCCACCCCTAGGCCTACCCCGAAGGCCTACCCCTAGGCCTACCCTAGGCCAAGCCCCAGGGCCTACCCCCAGGCCTACCCCTAGGCCCACTCCTAAGGCCTAACTGGGGAAAGGGGGAGGGCTTGGGATGGCAGGGGCGTCATCCGAAACAGCAGGATATTTCGCGCCGTCGGTCAATCCCATGCGGCGAAAGTGGTACAGCGCGCAACCTGGGTATTTCAATGACCGTAACGGAAGAGAGGACACTGGGCTCCGACGAGCACGCTTCTTTTGCTTACGATCGGTCCTCTCTGTATTGATATGCGCCCCAGAAGCGCCCCTTTCTGGAGCGAGCGCGGCAGCTGGAAATTAATGCTGAAGCCGTGCGCCATGAGAAAAGCTGGAATTCAACTCGCGCGAGCCGTGGATTGCCCTACAACTCGAGCGCGTCTGCTGCAGCGAGCAGCAAAAATAAGCCAGGGCTGCGAGGTCACTAGGGTCCAAGGTAAGAGCGGCTGGGCCAAGCACGAAGCGACGTTGTTCGGGCTGGATCAGACCCAGCGCTGCGAGGCAAGGCTGGCAGCATCCGATGGACCTCGCGTCCGCGCCCTGGACTCAACTGCGCTCGCGGGCATCCTGCTGCCGCGAACGGCTGCGACTCCGCTCAGCCACCGCCCTGTTGGCCTTCTTATTTGGATGAGGCTCTCTCGGGCCGGCCCGGCCGCGCTGCTCGGCGGCCTTCTTGGCGGACTGCATGGCTTCCACCAGTTGGCGGAGCGTAATGCCGCACAAGGTCATGAGCTCATTGTGGTACTTGTGGCGCAAGGCCACGTCATCTGGAACTGGAGTCATTTTCACTTTGCACCCCTCTTCGTCAAACTGGGCAATGGAGCAACCCGCGAGGCCTGCCTTCATGACGCGCGCCCATCTCTCTGCATCAATGGTCTTGCGTCTCCCCCCACCCGCACGGGAAGTCATGATGCGTTGCGCGGCAGACCTGCGGTCAATCACTGGGGTCCCAACGAGGAGCGTTTTCTGCATCACGGCGCGGTCCGTCCACTGAGGCGCGAGCAACGTCTCCTGCACCGAAGATCCCTGGAGTCCGTACCCGTATTCAATGGACCGGACGTCCTTCATCGTGAGCAAGGCGTCGCGAGTGGAGCTCGCAGGGGCCGCCTGGGCGGCAGCCAAGTCACCTGCACCCTGGAGTTCCTCTGCGCCCGGAACGTCAGCCCGCGCGCCGACCCCCGCGCCCTCGGGCCCATCTGCCGCGAGGCGCTGGCGAAAGCCGCCATCGTCTGCGCCGGCGCCGCTGCCCAGCGCGGCGGCGCCGCGCGGTTCGTCCTGCGGCGTCCCGTCGAGCCCCAATGCCCGGGCAGCCTCCTCCTCAGCCTCCTCCTCCTCCACTGCAGATGCCTCAAGATGGTTGCCGCTAGGCGTCGCCGCGTCGCCTGCGAAGGCGTTCTGGGACCACAGGCCGTCGAAGGGCTGCGGGGCCTCCTCCGTGCCGATGTAACTCTCCATCTGGAGCCTCATCATCGCGGCCTCGTCCATGCCGGGAGGGCAAGTCGCCGCTGCGTCTCCGCCCGCCGCGATCGCTTTGAGGCGGTCCACCGCGGACAGTAAGCTAGCGGCCCGCTTAATGTGCTCGGGCATAACCTGGATGGTCCTGCCCTGGTACACTGGGGTCTCGTCGTAGCGGCCGTGGAAGATGTCGAATACGCACAGGGCCCCTGCGATCTGTCCCAGTTGCCACGGCGCGCAGCCCATGCGCGCGGCGCCCTCGATGTCCTTCTTGTCGCGCTTCGTCGCCGCCTGCATATAGATTGCCCAGGGAGGGCCTACCCCTAGGGCCTACCCCCATACCCTAGGCCTACCCCTAGGGCCTACCCCTAGGCCTACCATGGGAGGGTCAGTAGGGCCTACCCTTGGGAAGCCTAGGGCCGTCAGTAGGGCCTACCCTAGGGATGCCTAGGGCCTTCAGTAGGGCCTACCCCAGGCAAACCTAGGGTCGGTAGTAGGCCCTAGGGCACAGCCCCCAGCAATCTACACCGCCGCCTGGACGTTGAAGCAGCCCATGTACGACTTGAATGTAACGTCCGCCCGGTCGGTCAGGGTGAGGACGCGGTGGGGCTCGTTGAAATGCGTGAGGACGCGGGCGCAGCACTTCTGCAACTCGTACGCGGCAGGAGTGGGAAAGCTGCGGTTGGCGATCCGCCATTCTGCCTCGAAACCCGACGTTGCGTCAGATGCCAAGCGGAAGCGCACTCTCGTCTCCACGCCGTCTGGCAGCGTGACCACGTAGCCGTTCGCGTCTGGGCGGAACCGCTCGTCGACTTCTGCCGCGGCATCCAGCGCGGGTAGGCCATCAGTCGGACGTTCCCACAGCCTCTCCGCGGCCTCGGGACTCGCCGCCCCCTCCCCCAATCCGAGTGCGTCCGCGATGTCTGGCAGCAGGGGGACCCACGTCCAAGACGAGTGGCCGGTCGGGGGGGCGAAGTCCGCGGGGAGCGCTTCGTGCGGCTGCACCGGCCGGCCTGTCGCTACCATGAGCCGCTCCTTCGTGTGGGCGAAATGGCTGCCAGACTCCCCCCTCTCCATGGGCACGTACTGGCTGGGATGCATGTTCCCGGTCATGCCGACAGACACCGTCGGCGCCGCCGCGGCGCCGTAGGACCCGCACGACTTCGTCGACCGGGACGCCTGGCCGTACTGCGCTAACTTGTTGAAAGCAGACTGGTGCGGGTTGACGGCGTTCCTCCCGCCCTTGCTGGACGCCTTCTGCTCGTCGGACAAAAGCCCGAAGGCTTGGAGTAGGTCGTACGCTTCGTCCAAGTTCACAAGCACGCCGAAGAAATGCCTGCGCTTCAGTTCGTCGTGATCCATTTTGTCGGCGTTCTGCAATTGCTGGAAGTCGCCAGCCATGCGGTGAAAGAACTCAGCTGGCGTCGCTGAGTGCAGCACTGAAGAGACGATTTTGGGAGCGACGTTATTTTCCTCTTCCTCGTCATCCGCGCTCTTCAGATCATCCC